GTTCAAATTGGTTTAAAATCGGCGGAGTTATTGCGTATAAATAAATTCATCCCCTATTTTCCACCCTTGGGGGTTGTTATTTTTATTAGTAAATTTAAATGGGACCAACCTTGAGGTATTACCTATACGCCGAAAAAAGAATTTTTCAAATCGGTTCATAATTGGCGGAGTAATCGCGTAACAAATATAGAAAAAAAAAAAAAAAAACATACGGGTCGAATTGAGAACCTCCTCCTTTTTTTGAAGTCGGTTGAAAATTGTACCACGACATTGTTTAAAAAAAAAGTTTTGTTTGTTATTCTTTCTTAGAAATTTTAACTTTAAGTAAAGCGGCTAAACTCTTGATGGGGCGTTTCTGCTAACCAAACGGCGCTTATATATAGCGTGAACTCCTATAACTTAACGATATCCCTCATCTAAGACATATTTTAAACGTTGTCTGTGTTTTCTTGTTCCAGCTACTTTTGCCGGTCGTGTTGGTCGTGGCAGCACTCGACAGACAACCACAAGCCACTGATGCGGAACTCCAAGAGTACCAGCACACGCGCCATCCTGCCCACACAGGATAACACTGACCACCACAATTATAATGGTATCTACGGACACGCTAACGAAAGTGAGTACTCCATTTAGTACATTACTCGTTATGTACCCGAAGAACTGACTGGCACAAATTATGAAAATCACTGTTAACCTAATCTACTGAGGTTGTTGTTTGTAGTAAATGTTACACCTGTTTTTTCATAGTTTAAATGTCCGGTTTGTAACATATTAACCAACGAAATTATTATCGACCCTCGTACGCTCGGTTCTAAAAACTGTTGAATATACTGCAAATTAACTTGATAATTTTGAATTCGGAGTACGTTTATTTTGATTGTAATTCAATTCTTACGACTCATATGTTTTGTCTATTTCTACAGGCACACCGTCTCCCGCGACGAGCGGCACGAGCGGTACGAGCGAGGAGCCCGGCAGTGGCGGCAGTGGAGTGAGCGAGGAGGCCGAGGGTGGCGGGGACGACGCGGCCGAGGGCGCAGTCTCCAGCTGGCTCAACTAGTCCTCCGCGCCGCAGCCCTGCAGTGCCCGCATTACGCCACGGCCCTGCATTACGCCGTGACCCCGCATTACATTACGCCATGGCCCTGCAGTAGCTGCAGCCCGCTGTTGTCGACCCGCTATTAAGTTCGGCGCTTCGCCAACATTTTGCTTCTTTGTTGATTCATTATGGTAAGATACTCGAACGTTTTGATAACCTCCATTTTTACTTCAGTATTTTAGTTTTATTTCATTAATTTCCACATCATTTTAAAACTTTAATGTCATTGTAAAATTAACTTTAATTTGTGTACTATTAAATTCATATTCCCTTGATAAATTAACCTAAATTTAAACTTGAACAGGAGCGTTATCGTACATTCGAGTACTTATCGACAACTCGATTATTGATCTCAATTATTGCATTTAATTGTTAATTATGTTTTTTATATTTTGTAATGTGTAGACTTGTTTCTATTCGTTTAAACATCTACACTTCACTTTTAAATATTTTTTTAATACTTTTTCGTTAAATTATTTGGATATTATTGTATCCCTTTGAAGGTCTGGTAAAGCCGACAAATGAAACGTCTATATCGACACGATCTGTAAATTAACATTTCATTTGTCAGCTATATCCGGCCGTGGGCGGTAAAGTTTACTATTTATCAAGTACTGATTGTTTTTGCATTGTATAAGTAACGGTATGCCGTTATGTAACTAGTTGGTAATTTTATCAAACAATTTATATTGTAATACGCTAACAGCGTAGAAATGTTCCTTAGACAAATTTTACGTATGTGCCTATTAGAATTAGGTAATTTTAATCAATTTTAAATATGCCTCCTAGTAAGCCCTATAGTAGCAATTTTAAACTTTTTAAAATGGGCTTTTAAAATGCATAATCATGGTTTTAACATACTAGGATGTTCAAAACGAAATGTTGATTTTATGTGAATCGCTTATTTGATTTTTAACTATACAAAATATACTTGTTATTGCAAATTTCTTTGTATTATTTCACGACTCCCCCTCCGCCTTTCCCCTAAACACGTATTTACTTCATTTACTTGAGGACAACAAAAAATTGAAATAAAGTCGTACAATGGTATCGGGCTATTTAAGGCTCGTAAATAATTGAGCGCTTGAATGCCGATACGAGGCGCAATAGAAAATTCATTGTCTCGCGTGGATCCGCGTTTAGACACGAAAGGTTAAAACTGCGATACGATGCAAAATCGTAATGCAGAAAATTACGACACGAATTGCTGCGATGCGAAACCTAGATCGTGACATAGATCGAAAAGGTGCTCCCACGCAGCAGTTGTATAATGTTATATCACATTGTGTAACATGATAACATTTTGTAACATACTCTACAACATGTCAAGATATTTATTTATTAGGTACACAAAACAGAAACACAGCACAATACACAACAGAGTAACAATACAAAACTGTAAACGGCAGACCATGTTTCCACAAGTATGTGCACACAACATGACATGCAACGACTAGTATTTATTTATTAACAATTATTTATAATTAATTATAATCCAGAACAAAATTAGAGATAAATTGTAATAATAAAGAGAATTAAGAATGCAATTAGACAATAGATACATTATTCAATATTGTCCTCATTATCGGACCGACCAAATAACAATTTCTTAACAATATTTTTAAATTTGTGAAGCGAGGTATTGTCGATATCAGGCACGCCCATGTCACTCGAGAGTAGCTCGTTGTACTTGCGACACATCCTTATCACAGGATTGTGAGACGATACATTGTTGTTGCACATTGGCAAAGAGAAAAACATCTCGCGTCTAACAGATCTACTACAAATTTGTTGTAATTTGTTTAAAAACAAATGTATACTTAGTCTCTAACGTTATAAAATTGCTGTGTGGGAGCACCTTTAATAAGGACGCATTTCTGTTCTTGCTTAGTGGATACAGGAAAAAATAGTGTCACTCTCTGGCTTTGCCACCATCAGGGATTTTAATTTTGATAACACAAAAAAAATAGTCGAAATGAGTCGCCTATAACAGAAATAGTCGTTCACTAGTTCAAAAGTCATAAGGGTTTGTAGGTGGTCGAGCAGCTGAGTCTCAGCTTGACCACATGTATATCTCGAAAACTAGGGCTCCTAGTGAAGATCTGTTTTACAAAACAATAGTCGCTAATTAGTCGAAATCAATTGCCAAGTCACGAACGTACGGCGCGTCGCGTTCCGCGCGCGCCTCAGAGAGCCATCAGACCACCACAGATGGGGCCCAGCAGGGCCGATGCCGATTCGGAGTCGCGGGGCATCTAATGGGTAACCGGGGCTCCGGCTCGACGTGCAGGGGAAGGAACGGGGTGGTTTTAGTCAGTAAGAATCTGACACTCCCTCCCGCCTCACCCAGGCGGGCGAAGTCATTCGATCATTTTCCCCCCTTAAAAAAAAAAATGGCGGGATCAGTCATTCGATGATTTTCCCCCCTTGTCGCAGATTTCAGCGAATTCGCAAGTTCTTGCGATGCGCAGAGGAAGCTCGCACATTTTTGCGTTGCGACATCGCATCGCAGTTTTGTGTACGAACCCTAACTCGTGGCATGCCGGGAACGTAGACTACGCGAGATGTTTTCTATTGTCTGATATAAGCGGCAGCCGGCAGATAAGCGGTTAAACAATAAGTGGCCTAATTTTATTTAGTACTATGTACTTCTGCGCGGTCACATCAGCTCTGTTCGGGTCAGCTCCTAGCGTGATTTTTTAGAGCTATTAGGAAGGCTATAGCTTTCCTCGATAAATGGACTACCCAACACAAATATATTTTTTCAATTTAGATCTGTAGTTTTTAAGATTACCACGTTCAAACAAAGTTTTAGTATTAGTATAAGACACGTTAAACATAATCGTTTTTTTAAGGGGGGATAATGATCGAATGACTTCGCCCGCCTGGGTGAGGCGGGAGGGAGTGTCAGATTCTTACTGACTAAAACCACCCCGTTCCTTCCCCTGCACGTCGAGCCGGAGCCCCGGTAACCCGTTAGGTTCTCCGCGACATATACATAAGCGTTTACGTACGCAATAACATTTGAAAACAAATATTCTACAATACGACAGCCTCGTTGGCCGAGTTGTCGCAAGTGTGAGTGCCGGGCAAGGGGTCTCGGTTTAATACCCGGGTCAATGTATTACTGAGTATTTTAAAATTCTCTGTGGTAAGCACGGAGTCTGGAGTTGTGCCCGGTATATGGCAATAGGCTCACCTCCTATTACATGGAACTCTTAACATAAATAGTGAAAAGTGGGTGTTACATTGTACAGTGGCAGTAAGTGCCGTAATGTAGGTATACCTTCGGGAATAAAAGGCGTGATATTATGGTATGTTATGTTAAATATTCCACACTGACAGATCTGTCGCAAAATGGACACTGCAAAATGTCTAATTTTAAAGTTCCCTTTTTTCGATAGTTTCTGCCGCCACCACTCTACACTGGCAGTGTAGTCGACCACAACGTTTTCGAGACTCGGTTGCCAAAGAAGGAAAAAAGTTTAGAAAAATACTTTTCTAAAAACCGCATCATAATCAGCTTAGTCAATCGCGAGATAATCGCAAACGTATTTACAGATCAAATAAAAACTTTTTGAAGTTATCAAAACGAAGAAAGCTTACATTTGGCTTATTAGTTTTAAAATATTTCGGTACTTGCGGTAAAACGTGGTAGACACATACAGGAATGGGGTGAATAGATACTACTCCATGAAAATTTCGTTTTTGTCCAGAAGTAAAATGGTTTTGTCTAAAACAATAGTTTTACAAAGAAATAAAATGTTTGAAACTAAAAATAATTGGTGGACCATTGCAAAAAGTAAACTTCGAAAATGCATTCGAACTCATAGCACATTATCAAAACATCATGCCATGTAGTTCTCGAAGAGGTATTTCTCGGCGGGTGGCACGTACCCTAATATAATTGTCGCGGAGAACCTAACGGGTAACCGGGGCTCCGGCTCGACGTGCAGGAGAAGGAACGGGGTGGTTTTTAGTCAGTAAGAGTCTGACACTCCCTCCCGCCTCACCCAGGCGGGGGCAGTCATTCGATGATTTTCCCCCCTTAAAAAAAAAAATAAAAAAAAATAAAAAAAAACCCTAATATAATTAGAAAAAACGACTGCAGTAATTCCGGACAAGATAATTTTTTATGGGATATTTAGAAAACATGAATATAAATGGTCTCGGAGTTTGTACCATTCTTGCCAGGCACGGATGCGTTAAACTTTAAAGTCGTAATATTTCGAAAATTAATTAAAATATATTTGAGTATAATGTAGATATCTCAGAGGCCTTAGTACGAGTTTGTTTTACGTTTCAAGTAATCGTAACGAGTATGCGTTCGGCGCTGTGATTGGTTGCTTCATTGGCGCCGGCCAATAAGGGTGCCGAATGCGTATTCGTTTCGAATACTTTAAACGTAAATCGAACTCGTACTAAGGCCTCTGATCGCGAAATAATCGCGTTCATGTCATTCTAAGATTTTTCTACCCACTATGATACTAAGGAAGTAAACAATAAGGAAGTGAAACAAGATAAATTCATAATTATTTTTATTTAATCGATAACTTCTGTTTATAGTACATTAGTGGCACAATCCAGTGAGTGTGCTATTTTCGCAATCTATATACAATATGTAGAGTAATCTATTTACGATAGATCTCTATTAAACAGAGTACACATTTAAACTGTCAAACACCAAGCGGTCACCGGTGACCGCAACCTATTGTTCTATAATTGTGTCTATAATCACGGTGCTCGACGAGTTAAATAAGGAGCTCAATACTACACGCAGTAATGATTTGTATTGAATTTTTCAGTCAAGTTCAGAATGGACCAATCGGAATGTCGGCTTCTATTAGTGTAGATGACTTATTTATTTTAAAACATTAGACAAGTATTTTGTTAATTTCTTACAGAAAAGAATACTTTCGACGATATATTGATTTGAAATATCGCGTGACGTCACTTCTATGTTCATTTTATACGTGGAAATGACGTTTTAGCTCCCTCTCCTAAACTTTGATTCGTTTTATCTAAGTATTGTTTAATTATACGACAAAATAAAAAAATACGTGTCTAATATTTTCCATTACCTAGCTGACGGACTAAATAGATTTTTAATTTTTATACTCTGTCATCATCCCTATTGTATGTAGCGTATTCGGTCCAGCCGTTCGCGTAATGCAATGTAACCAATGGAAATTGGAACTCATTTTATAATTTAAGATTATCGCGATGTGCACTGACTTTGGAAGTAATCCTGGCTTTGTCCAAGTGTTTAGTTGTTGTATGTTAATCGGACACGATATAGGGACATTTTGAACTTGAATGGGTAGCGAACAAAGATTACATAACAGCAAAAATATGCATTATTACAGTGACACAAGGCATATAATACAATAACCAATATTGCCTAGTCGAAGCTACGTGAAGTGTTGCTAGCGAACATGTTGTGTGTAGAACTATAATGGATCTTATTACATTGATACAAGGTAAATAATACAATATTAATAAGTGTGCATTGATTACTTTGATTTGTTGAGAATTTCGTCAATGCGGACGTAATGTAAAAATAACAAAAATGAACCTTATTAAATTGGAATAATGTATATAGTGCAATGTAAGTAGCTGATGTAGACTAGTCGAAGCTCATGCTCATGTCTGAAGTGTTGGTAGCGTCGGCAGGTGGCGTTATGGGCGCCGCCGGGGGGGAGATGTTCACCGCTGGGAACGGGAACTGGGGGATTTCTTCTTCTGAAATTTTAAATAAGATATATTTTTATATACATATTGATGTTAGAAATACTGATTGAATAGTATTTTTCCACACGCACAACATAACATCACGCCTTTTATCCCCGAAGGGGTAGGCAGAGGTGCATACTATGCCACTGTACAATGTAACGCCCACTTTTCAATATTTA